CTTTTACAGATTAAAAAGAACAGGAGCTCAGAGAGGTGAAGTAACCTGTTTATAGACACATATCACAGAAGTGACCAACATAAATTTAAAACTTGAATTTTTTTCTTTATTCCACAAAAACAAAACCTACTCTTCCTAGACCCTTTGCAAGTCCTCTCTTATAGCCTAGCTATTTTACATCTGTCTTCTTGTCTGTCCTTCATATACAGAATTCCCTCCAGCGGCTTCCTGGAACTACAACTCCCTGTCCCTGGCATCTACCCCAGGGGATCCGTCCTGTGAAATCCAGCCAACCCTCTGTAATATTCATGGGAGTCACTGTTCCGACTAGAGTAAGGGGGGCTTTTGGAGGAAGGGACAAACCCCACGCCCGGGGCAAGCACACATGGTTTCCTCCTCAAAACAGATAACCCCAGAAGTTGTCAAAACCATGAATTCCTGGGCTTCCCCAATTCATTTCTAATGCCAACAATGGAGGCATTTCCTGGAACACAGGACCACAGGAATGTGGAACCAGGCATTCCTTGTGTTCCCAGAACGTGCCAAAAGCCTGTGTGAATCGCGCGGGCCACCCAGCCAACACTATCTGCCACCCAATTCCCAGCACTCCAGGACTCTGGGCACAGACGCCCTGCAAGTTGGACTCCATCAAGGCTCCTGCCTCCCTTTCACCTTCTTTTGGCAGCCACCCTTCGGTCATTTGTTCCCGTCCCTGGCTGCGGACCAGAATCACCGGTAGCTTAAACAAGACAGAGACCTGGATCAAGCCCAGGGATTCCCGTGGAACTGGTCTGCGGTGCGGCCTGGTCCGCTGGACTCTGCAGGTGCCCCAGATGTTTCCAAGGAGTCCACGGGATTGAGAAGCCCTCCCTCCGATCACTGTCTACAGGAGAACCAATTCCGCTGGCACTGAAGTTCATCCCTTTACACTTTCGTTTCACTTCTCAAAACTCTTGGGTTTCTCTGCCCAGTTCCATCGAGCTTCTCTAGAGCAGCTTTACATTTCGCTGGGCACTCGTGGTCCCGCCTCCCAGCAAAGCACTTCTCACTTGCGGCACCCCGCGACCCCAGAAAAACGTGTTCCCTTCCCCACTTCCCACCTTCTCTCCCGTGTTGCCGCCACTTACTTGGCGGTCTGGTTTGCAGACCCCGCAGCAGCTGGAGTCAAAGTCGGGGCTAGGTGTGCCGGGAGCCCGCGACCCGAACCAGAGGCCGAGGGGCGCCTAGGTCCCGGAGCGAGCAGGGAGCGTTCGGTAGAGCGAGGCGGCTGCCAGCCAGCCCGGAACGGGAACTGGTAGGGTGGGCCAAGGCGGCCGCGCCCGAGAGCCTCGGCCGGCTGCTCTGGGAGCCGGCCATGCGGGGGCGCACCGGCACCCCTGGCAGGGTCGCTCACAGCACAGGCGTGGGAAGCCAGGAGCAGCGGAGTCAGAAAGTGGCCTCCGGCAACCCCAGGGGCCCTCCCTGCGGGAGCCTTGCGGCCAACCCTTGGCACAGACACAAGTGGGCAGGCCTGAAAGTTCGCCCAGGGGTGACACACTTGGGAACTCGTTGCGCCAGCTCCGCCACCGCCGCGAGCCCAGGCCCGTCCCCCTAAAAGTGCCAGCCCAGCACACTTGCAAGCAGAGGAAACGCCTGGGTCCCACAGTGAAACCTGTGAAAACGTGACTCTTGTTCCCAGAGGACAAAGGATGAAAAGTATTCAGCTTTTTACAACAGAGCACATACTTCGATTTACACTTTTTAAAACCTAAGCTGTTCTTCCTGTCCTTAAATGTTCTTGGCGCCATACATTTTTATATCCTATATATTGTGCTGTAATGACTTGTAAAGGAGCTTTTCTGTGGACTAATAAATTATTCCCAATAAAATGTTTTTTAAACGTTTTAAATGCGAACGATCTACATCAGGCATATTGATGTTGTAAAAAGTTGACAGTTGTTCACATTAAAGTACATTCAATTGTGTCATCATATGCTCATGAATAATTAAATTCCGAGCAAAGGCTGCCTTCTGAGAAAAGAGAAGTATTTTCACAATTCAAAAGTGAAACTTTGCAAACATAAAATTAATGATACACAATATGCAAACTTATAAAAATACAAAATGAATAGCTATAGATGCTAATTCTTTCAGCTTACCTTATATGAAAACAAAAATTTTTTTGTTTTCTTCTTTTTTTCTTTTCTTCTAAGATTCTCAATTTTATTTTCCAGGTCTTAAGCTCATACATTCCCTATACTGATTTTCTGACTGCTCCTGAGTGGCATTTTCAGTTCCATCTTTCCAATCCTCAGTTATTCTGTACCTATTGATACTTGAATCTTTAACTCAGCTGTGGTAGGGAGATGGTGCCTCACCCATCCTTGAGACCCATGACCTACGCTTGGTTTCAATGGATATGGCAAAGATGAGTTAAGTTTGCAGGTGAAATTAAGGGTGCTGGTCAGCAGGCCTGAAAAGATTATCCTGGACTTTGGGGTAAGCCCAAAGTAATCATCAGGGCCCTTCAAAATGGAAGAAGGAAGCAGAAGAAGGAGAAACAAAGAGATGACTGCCTGAGAAAAACTGGCTTGGTATTGCAATGGAGAAATGGGACTATGTGCCCAGAAATCCTGGTAGCTTCCAGAAACTGGGATAGGCAAGGAAATGGATGTTCTCATACACCCTCCTGAAGAAACACAGTCCTACTGACAGACAGATTTTTCTGAGACTCATTTCAGACTTTGGATCTTCAGAATAGTAAGATAATAAAACTGTGTTGTTTTAAGTCATTACATTTATGACAATTTGATTCAACGGTAAATAACCATGTTATTTAACTCCAGTATTAGGTGGTGATAAGTCTATCTTTCTTCCTTTGAAATATCTTAGCATCTTTGTGTAGGTCTTTTTCTAGGTTCTCTGTTCTTTCTCATAGTTATCTGTGTTTAACCCTATGCAAATGCCACAGTTTTGAAATTGGGCAGATTCCTCCTATTCTAATAGGTTTGTCTATTTTAGTTTTCTATTCCATATAAATCTTAGAAAAATATTTTTTGTAAAGCCACTTGCAAGATAGCCTGACAAAAGTTTTTCCTACTTTGTCATTTTCTTGTAACTACAACATAGGACTCTAAGAGTGGTTATTTTTAAAATACTTTTGATTAGATAATGAAACACTGACTCTGTGATCAAAAAGTCTGTTCTCTTTATTTTATAAAAAGATTTATATATTTATGCATACAGAACTGGGGTACAGGCCAAATGTGCAGGGGCATTGAGAGGATTCACCAGAGAAAAAGTGGGGAGCAGAACAAGCAGATCCATGAAGTACATTGCTGAGGGGAGCAGTGGGTAAGACAGGAGAGATCTGCTGTGCCATGTGGGTCCTGGGGCTGGGGATCAAACTCACACTGAAGCAGATTCGGCCAGCTTGCAGTGCTATTTTAACCTGCTGTGCCACCAGGGAGGGCCCTGTTCTCATTATTCTAATAATGTTCTCATTATTCTGAATAATTCAGTTAGAGACCTGATTTTGTCCTATTAATGTTAAATTGCAAGTATGGAAACTTAGGACTTAAAAGGAAGCATTCTTCGAAAAAAGAAAAGAAAAAGAATCTTGCTGGGATTTTGATAGGAATTATGTCAAAGCTGTATAAGAGAGAATAGGCATCCTTATTATTAAGGGCTCCCATTTAGTTATTTAGATCTTTGACTTCTTTCATCAGTGATGAGTTTGTCATTTAAACAAACAAACAAGTCCTACATGTTTTGTGAGATTTACACCTAAGTATGTCCTTTTTAAAAAAGTTGCATTCATTGGTGGTTGGCATATAAAAAGCTTCAACCAATGTAGGTGGAGTTGGAAGCGGCAGTCAGCAATTCTGCCAGTTTTCAATTTTGTTAGATTGTCAGTTTTCTAGTCCTTTGGCTAGTGAGCAGACTTTTAGGGTTTTTTTTGTTTGTTTTTTTTTTTTTTGTTTTTTTTTTTTTGGTCTGTGTTTATTGGTTGTTGGCTTCTTCAGCTACAAGTCTGAGATGTATGAGGCAAAAGAAAACCCAAAATTTCAGCAACATGTTGTGCCTTCCCTGTCCTGTGATATAGCTTACTACAGAATAGCAATGCAGCTACAAACATCTTTGTTCACTTTTCCCAAAAGAAAAAACCAAGTCTTTATTTTATGTTCCTCAAACTAGCTCACCTTCATTTCAATAATCTGTTTCAAAGGTATAGTTCACTGTATTTCCTGTGGCATTTTTTTGATAACCCAGTACTGTTTTATTCGTGACATTTCATACCTGCATTTATTCAGTAAATAAATTTAAGGTGACCAATTCTTGATAAACCAAGAATCAAATTATAGTTTTTAGAATATATTTTTACTTCTAAACTAACTCTTCTACTTTAAAATAGTGCTCTGAGGATGACCCTGCACAACTAGATGTTCTGTAAGAACGGTAATGATTATTAATACTTCTATGTCAGCTCTGTTCTAAGTTTATTACATATACTTACTACTCAAAATATCCCTAAACTACATTTTTTTTATTACAAAGTTTATTTTTACATCATTTTGCACATTTTTTTTTCCATCTCGATTGTAATCCCCGCGGGTTTCCCATCACCAAATCACCCCTGTGCCACCACCATAGTCCTGTGCATTTCCCTCCCTCTCCCCCCCTTTTTGATCCCATTCTCCACTCCGCCCCCACAGAATGTCTCTGGTATATGGTTGTTCATTATTTTTGTTATCCCTAAACTACATTTTTAATGACTGCTCTCATTAGAGGGGAGGAAGCAGGCCTAGGTACTCTCACATTCTCACAGCAAGAAAGTGATGGAGTTGACCATTGATTCTAGAGTGTCAAGTTTGAGTCTGTACAATAAATGCTCAAGTATAGCTGGTATAAAGCCAAGAAAAGATGCAGTGTGTGTGATGATTTGAACTTCTCTAACAAAATGAAATATAATAGTTTAATAGGATATACAGGTTAAAACACAAATATAGTTATTCCTCCAAGAAGAGTATACCACAATTTTAATAAAAAAAAAAAAAAGGTTACCAACACTAACTACAGTTTGCTTGCTCTTATTAAGCTGATTGAAAATTAAACAAAAACCCAGAGAAGAGCAGTTCACCTGCACCATCATTAAGCTGTAATCTACCCTTTATCACAGAGCAAGAACACACCAAATCAATTCCAGAAAATAAATCGTGTTTACAGAAGCAACTCCCACATCCTTTGCCATGTATTTCAGTCCCTCGTGGCCCCCTTTCCAGTTGTCTAGCTCCTACTCTAGTCTGAAGAAAAGGAACCACTCAAGGGAGATAGTCATTTAGTGTATTACTGAAAATGCACTAAATACAGAGATATCTCAGATCTCTATTCTAAACTTCATATTTTAGACTAGCTCATAGAGAAAATATCCTCAGATATATTCTATTAAGTCCTAATAAGTTTTTGCTTCCCCCTTTTTGATAATGTCTTCAATTTCTTCTGAGACCTTTCCTTTGTAATCATTTGTTTCTATTGCATTTAACTTCCTTTGATATTCCAGTGGCAAACCATTCTCTTTTGCTCCCATGCAAATGACCTAGAGATGGTAAAACAAAGAAGCCTTTTAGTTGGGAACATAACTTAGTATACTACAGCCTCACTTTTAGCATCAAAGCATGAAATATTAGCTTTCAGATAACTTTATAACAAACAATTCTAGAAAAATAGAGATATAGTATTCCTCTCATATGGAATAGGTTCAGGATTTCAAAACGACATGTTGCATCAGGGAATATCAGTTGTACTAAATATGACTTAAACTATCTTTATATCAAGACAAAAAAGATATTTATGGCATTTGAGTGGTCTGTAAAGGAAAAACTTCATTCTCAAAAAAAATAGATAAATAAAAAATACAAGTTTTAAAGAGAGCAATTTCTGTTCAATCCTGAGTTTACACCTCCCCTGAATTGGACATGAGGGGATAAATGGCAACTGTTTTCAGTAGATCAAATCCATACCAGGCTAATTCCAATAGGCTCCATGCTAAAAAATTCCAGATTAAGTCTAGGGACTGGGTCACCTGCTTTATGTGTCTTGATTGGATGCTGTCTTGGCTAGGCCTGCCAGCAAGAATCTAAGTTTGAATTCTACAAAGGGGTGTCAGGATCTCTATCTCACTTCTTTTCCCAACCTCATGGAAGCAGTTTCTCTGATTCTGTGATGTGGTATGTCTTTTGTCTCTCCTTCTGGGATGGAAAACACTTCAGTGTTAAATATGTTTTTCTCCCACAAAAATAAATGTTGGTGTTCGTGAAATATTTTGTGAAGAAAAACAACTAGATTACAAAAAGCACATATAAATCTAAAAGCACATATAAATCTAAAAGCACATGTAAATTTCAAAAGCACATTAATAAATCTATTAAAAACTGCACACATACATGATTTTTTATTTATCTATATATATATGACTCATACATTTCTAAAAGCTTATTTTTTTTTTTATAGATTTATCTATGCATACAGAACTGGCACAGAGGTGCAGGGGCAGTGAGAGGATTCACCGGAGACAGACTGGGGAGCAGAACCGGAAGATGACGAAGTACACTGCTGAGGGCCCTCCCTGGTGGCCCAGCAGGTTAAAGCACAGCACTAAGAAGCTAAAGCCACTTCCCCATGAGTTCGATCCCCGCCCACCCCGGAAGTGACCCACATGGCGTGGCAGACCTCTCCTGACCTGCCCGCTGCTCCCCTCAGCAGTGTACTTCATCAGTCGGCCTGTTCTGCTCCCCACTCTGTCTCTGGTGAATCCTCTCATGGCCCCTGCACCTCTGGCCTGCACCCCAGTTCTGTATGCATAAATAAATAAAACTTTTAAAATAAAATAAAATTAAAAGTATCCTGCTGAGGGGAGCAGCAGGTGAGACAGGAGAGATCTGCTGTACCAAGTGGGTTGCCTTCCTGGCTTGAGATCAAATTGCTGCTAAAGTGACTGCAGCTAGCTTCAGTGCTAATCTTTAACACATTGGGCCACTGGGGAGGGCCTAAAAGCTTAATTTTAATAAATAGTTTTAAACATATATTTTTATCATGACATAGATCCAACCATTTTTGAATTTACACATTAAGTAATTATCAGTTTTATATTAAAAACATCTTAGTTAAAATGAATGTCTGTAGAATTTAAAACACATAAAGACTTTAAAATCAAGATAGCCTTCATTTCAATGAAAATATTACCAAAATCTTTGTAAGTAACATACCTTTTTATACTGTGGTGATGGGGGAGCACTCTCATAATTCTTCATCTGATAACTTCTGCAAGTTATTTCCTTTCCTTCTTGAGTATGAACAGTAACTTCTATTGGGACATATGTACCACTTTTAACTCCTTCTTGCCTGAAACCAGAACAGTCAAACTTTAATCAGAACTAGATGTAGCCATGTTAGTTAACTGGGAAAATCTTCTAGTCAAGTTGGAATATAGGGTTACAGATTTAACTGCTTAGGGAAATTCTTACTCTCTCTGTATGTTGGGGTTTAGTAGAATATATTATAAATACTACTACATCAAAAGTAAAATTATCATTTCAATAAGTCTGAGAATTGATATACTTTTAATCTTTACATTTAGCCTATCTAAGAACAAGCTTTCAATACAGTGATTTTGGTTTTCAGGCCACTGAAAGTTTGTTCTGTAGACAGTGTGTCTGACAGTAAGAGAATATTCATCCAGAGAAAAGTAGACAGGATGGCTGGTTCTCATTCACAAGTGAGGGAAAGTGTCTGGCCTGTCAGATAAACTTTTCTTTTCAAGTTTGAGTCTTTCCCGCCCACTTTTTTGTATTAAGTGCTCTGCTATACAACTCTCAAAAGTTTCCATTCTAAAAAGTATCAAAGCATTTCTAATATGTTTTAAAAATTGTTTTTCCACTGATTTAACTGTGACCTTAAAGAACTATTTTTTTTAACTCTTGGTATATAAAACCTCAACTGCTTTAGGATTCAGCAAAAATTTTATGATAAGAACCTACAAAAAGATTTTTTTAAAGGTTTATTTATTTACACTTACAGAACTGGGGTAAGTCAGAGTGTGGTGGGTGAGAAGTCAGAGTGTGGTGGGTAAGAAGATTCACCAGTCACAGAGTGGGGAGCAGAACAAGCGAACTGATGAAGTACACTGCTGAAGGGAGCAGCGGGTAGGTCAGGAGAGGTTTGCCACACCCTGTGGGTCACCTCTAGGGTGGAATCGAATTTATGCAGAAGTGGCTTTAACTTCTTAATGCTGCATTTACACGCTGTGCAACCAGGGAGGGCCCGAGATTATTTTTTTTCTTAAGATTTTATTTATTTATTCATACAGAACTTGGGTACAGGCCAGAGGCGGTGAGAGGATTCACCAGAGACAGAGTGGGGAGCAGAACAGGGCGACTGACAAAGTACGCTGCTGAGGGGAGCAGCAGGCGGGTCAGGAGGGGTCTGCCATGCCATGTGGGTCACCTCTGGGGCTGGGATCAAGGTCATGATGAAGTAGCTTTAGCTTCTTTATGCTGTGCTTTAACCTGCTGCACCACCAGGGAGGGCCCCAGAGATTTTTTTGATATCCCTCTCCCACGCCCTTACAGAGATTTTTATAACAGACAAATATATACAACAAAAAGGACTTTCATCTTTTATATAAGAGATTACAAATAGCACCCCAAATCTCATTGAGGAATTTTCTAGGCTTTTCTTTGTAGAAATGCACATTATTATACTTTCATATTAACCCAAGTGTAAAGACTATATTTATAGTGAATAGTTTTGAAAACATAACACATATATATTTTCTTGCACATGGTCTACTTTCTCAATTAGTAATTATTAACTTATAATTAGAAGTCACCTACTTATCCAGAGAACTTAAATGGCTTTTGTTCATTTTCCATACTATTCCCCATACTTCATCGCCAGGACTTTGAAAAATTGTGGCTATACCTCCATGCCAAGTTTCACTTGTTTTGCCTTGGAAATTGCCAAAGTGGAGCTTAAAATCCTACAAAGGAAACCAAAGTGATATGGTCAGTATCTACTTGAAAAAAATTTCCTCCTTAAAATCAAATGGACTTACCTTGAATTCCATGCAATTAACACATACACTTTAAATTCTTCCTATTCATAAGCTGGAAAATACAAAGGTAAACAAACAAGGACCCACATCTCAAGGACTGTATTATTTCATTAAAAATGTTTGCTTAATATGTATGTACATGCCTTGCTATAAACAAAAGGTCTGAGGAAAAGAATCCTGTCGTTCCAAAGCCTTAATGCAACTTTTTAATATTTGAAAATTATCCCTAGTTTACTTACATACACTTAGGTTTCTTATGTAGAAGCCATCATGGTTTACATAATTGTTAAAGGTGGATGATGGCTACATGTGACTTTCAGCATTCACTACTTTTATCTAGAGAGTATCCTACTAACATAAAACATCACATCTGTTAAAAGGGATATGTTATATGATGATCTGTATACTTATGAATAATAATCTAATATTCATGAGGTATACGAGTATGTCTATAATAATCGTAAGAGAAGATAACACTGGAACATTCTATACACCATGCTATGAACTTTATATGAACTCTCATTTTATTCTTCTGACAACTTATTAACAGCAAGAAAAACTGTGGCTTATCAAAAATTAAGCAACTTGCTTAAGGTCTCACAACTAATAAGAAATGTGGCCAAATATCAAGTTCAGCTTCTTCCCTCAAAGAGATGCAATCACGGGACAGAGTCCTGAGCAACGTTAAAAACCCTTACCAGGCTCTCCCTGGTGGCGCAGCGGGTTAAAGCACAACACTGAGAATCTAAAGCCGCTTCCTCATGAGTTCCATTCCCGCCTGCCCTGGAGGTGACCACATGGCGCGGCAGACCCCTCCTGACCCGCCCACTGCTCCCCTCAGCAGTGTACTTCGTCTATCTGCCTGTTCTGCTCCCCACTCTGTCTCTGGTGAAGCCTCTCACCACCCCTGAGCCTCTGGCCTGTTCCCCAGTTCTGTATGCACAAATAAATAAATCTTTAAAAACAAAAAAAAAAGCCTTACCAAAGAAATCCAAATTATTTGCAGGGGTGGGGGGAAGTAGTAAAACTGTCACTATTTGCTGATGACATAATATATAAAAAATTCTAAAACTACAGGACCCTCCCTGGTGGCACAGCAGGTTAAAGCACATCACTGAGAAGCTAAAGCCACTTCAGCATCAGTTCGATCCCCGCCGGCCCCAGAGGTGCTCCACATGGCGTGGCAGACCTCTCCTGACCTGCCCGCTGCTCCCCTCAGCAGTGTACTTCGTCTATCTGCCTGTTCTGCTCCCCACTCTGTTTCTGGTGAAGCCTCTCGCCACCCCTGCACCTCTGGCATGTACCCTAGTTCTATATGCACAAATAAATCTTAAAAAAAAAATCTAAAACTGCAATAAAAAACTATTAAAAGAATAAATCAGAACCATTAATAAAATCAGCTTACATAAAGAAATGGAAAGATATCCCCTTCTGATAGATAAGAATTAACAGCGTAAAGCACACATCTTCCACAAAGCAACATACATAGTCAATGTAATCTCTACCAAAATTTCAGTGGCATTCTTCAAAGAAAAAGAACAACTATTATTGAAATTTATAAGGAAACAAAGAAGACCCCAAATAGCCTAAAGAATCCTGACAAAAAGTAATAGGTGCTCACAAGCTTCACATTATACTACCAAGCTATAGTAGAAAAAATAGTATAATACTGGAATAAAAATAAGCACAGAAATGGAACTGGGAGCCCAGATATAGATGTACATTTATATTGACAGCTAATTTGCAGCAACAGAGCAAGGTTATACAGCAGAAAAAGGAACGTCTCTTCAACAAATGGGGTTGGGAAAACTGTACAAGCACATAAGCATGAATGAAACTCGACCACTGTCTTATACCACACACAAAAATTTACTAAAAATGGACTGAAGACTTAAAAGTAAGACCTGAAGCCATGAGAAAAGAAAACAGACAAAAATACTCCCCAACACTGGCTTCAGAGATATCTTTGGGGACTTGGCTATAACAGTAAGAGAAACAATAAACAAATGGGACTACACCAAACCAAAAAACTTCCATAGGACAACGGAAACTAATATTAAAATGAAGAAACATTCTACCAAATAGGAGAAAATAGTTGTACATCATACATCTTACAAAAGGCCGATAACCAAAACACAAAGAACTCACACAACTCACCAAGAAAACAAATGATCCATCAGAATATGCGTAGATGTATTAAGTAGACACCTCTCAAAGGAAGCCATACAGATGGCCAACAAGCACATGAAAAAACAGTCGACATCATTTATCATCAGAGAAATGCAAATCAAAACATAATGAGATACCACCTCACACCTGTGATAATGACCTATGTCAAAAAGACCAGGAAGAGCAAGTATTGGTGCGGGTGTGTCGAAAAAGGAACCCTCTTACACTGTTGATGGGAATGTAGACTGGCCCGATCTCTATGGAAAACAGTATGGAGTTTCTCAAAATATCTAAAGTAGATCTGCCATAGAATCCAGAAGTTCCGGTCCTTGGTATCTACCCAAAGAAAGAAACACACTAATCAAAGGGATCCTATATTCACTGCAACACTATTTAAAATAGGCAATTTATGGAAAAAACCTAAATGCCCATAGATAGATGAGTGGATTAGGAAGATACCTTTAGAGGAGAGCGGAGAGAGAGGAGCAAAGTAGGGAAGGGGACTCACTGGATTATGGTGGGGTATTATGCTTTGGTGGCTTGTGTGGTGTGGTAACATAAATCTGAGGAGATGTGAATTTATAGCCCTAAAATACATATAAAGTATGATAAAGTTACCTCAATAATAAAAATAATACAATTTAAAAAATCCTTCCTAGGCTGGTTGGTGTAGAAAGACTTCTTCCCATCTCTCTGGAGCTTAGTTTCTTTAATAATAAAATGTAAAAGATTGTATTAGATAATAAACCCAATGCTTGTATTTTAACTCTGCCATCTTTATTTTCTTAAAAACCTCATCAGACATTTTAGGAAAGAGGTTGATTTGAGTGATCAGTATGTTCTATTGGCAAATTGGAGCTCTTTTAGGACCAATTATCCCTGGAAGGACTTCAGTATGTCTGATAAAGGTTACAACTACACAGAGATTGATTGCCTATTGCTAAATTGAATTAAACACCCTATCTTGATCTGCCTTCTTTCTGACTTGATCTCAATTTCATTTGCCAAGTTCTCCTCCTCCATCACCTTGCCTTAAAATATTGGAGATTCTCATGGTTCAGTTTAAGTCATTTTCTGTGTTTATTCAGCAAATTTGCTCAAGAGAATCTCATTCCTTCCAGTCACTTCAAACACCATCCCATATTCCAGCCATCTCTTAATCAGATCTCTTCTGAGCTTAAAAGTACTTAGAAAAGAGCCAAGCACAGAGTACCTAGTCAATATTTACTAATGCTTCCTGTTCATTTGGGTGCACACTCTGTATGTTTAAAGTGATCCTGTTTTTCTCTCCCAAACTAAATTATCCTTACAAACACACACATTCAAAAAATATACTCTTTACAAATGTCATCACCCATCTCTTGTTGCACCCAAATCTAAGTGGTTCCACATATCTCCTATTTTCTTCATAACCAAATCACAGGAACATTGTCATCTCCAAATTATCTCAAACTCATCTACCCTCCAATGCTCCACAGTCGTTCATCATGGTGCCATTAGCTTAGCATGAATTGCTACAAAAATTTTCTACCTGAATCTCTACGTCCAGTAGAGATTGCCCCTTTTGAGTACATTTTCCATAGCAACCAGAATGAGCCTTCAGGGATATATGTGACATTCTGCAATGGGTCTTCGTATTGCTCTCAAGATAAAGTACAAAGTCTTCCCTGGCCTTTGTGGTTCTAGAAAATGTGCCCCTGCCCTACCTTTCCAGTCTGTATGTTACACCCAACTCACACTTAACAGTAGCCACACTAGAGGGGAGATTCAGCTACTTCCTTGTCTTTTTTACATGCTGCTTTTTTCTGTTTTTTTTTTTTTTTTTGCAAACCATGTCACGATATATGAGGAGCCGAGCTTTGATTTCAGATCTGTTTTTTGCTTTCCCTCTCCCCAGTCATTCAGATCTCAGCTTAAAAGCAAAATTTCAAAGAAGGGCTCCACTGAGCATTCCAGTAAGGTCAATCTCCAATCCACACACTTACACGTATGTTCCTTCTATGTCTTCTTTGTTGAAAAAAAGACTCTTTTTTTTTAAGAATTATTTATTTTTTCGTATAGAACTGGGGTACAGGCCAGAGATGTGAAGGGTGAGGGGATTCACCAGAGACAGAGCGGGGAGCAGAACAGGCAGATCGAGGAAGTACACTGCAGAGGTCTGCCGCGCCATGTGGATCTCCTCCAGGGCAGGTGGGAATCGAACTCATGCGGAAGTGGCTTAAGCTTCTTAGTGCTGTGCTTTAACCCGCTGCGCCACCAGGGAGGGCCCCAAAAAAAAGACTCCGTTTTTTAAAAGCAATTTTAGTTTCTAGGAAAGTTCTCATTTTTGAGAGCTCTCCAAAAGCCTTTCAACACACTCTTTTTCTGCTTAAATCAGTCACCTTCAGTTGCCTGCAACTAAGAACCCCGAGGACTTAGCAGAGACCATATTTATCTACACGATCATAGTTATTAATGTCAAAAGGTTAACATTTTGACAATGTCAAATATAATATCAAAAGTTTATGTATGTAACTTGCTTACATGTCTCATAGTCTGGGTAGGCCTCAAAACAGTCAACTTCACTCAGGCATCTTTCTATCTCCAGGAAGTGCTCAAAGAACATGTACTAAATGAATGAATAGACTGAGAGCAATGATTTACCAAGGTGGGTAATGGACCATGCAGTCCCTTGACTTAACTCAGCACAGATGTTACTATCAATAAGCCAGGGTTCCAGTTTCATAGACCTCTAACTCAGATCAAGATCAAAAGACCAGTAAAACAATTTTTGCAACACCAGGTGACAATCTGGTAGCAAACATATGTACATAACAAAAAGCAAAAGAGTCGTACGAATTTAATGGATTCTGTTACGACGTCCCTAAGTTATTGGACAAGACCGAGGCGGTCAGATCTGGGTGGAAACGTTAGTCCTCAGTGCATTTGCTGAGGACATGGTTCAGTAGGGGTACAGGGCAGTGAAGGGTGCAGAGGAAGTGGTTTTGCCTAGGAAGGCAGAAGTCAGAAGGTGAAGAGAACCCCGGTGTACTCTTTTCAGGAAACACTGCATAACAGGCACAGTCTGCCGATGCGTGAAACCTAGGAAACCACCTTCTCGAAACCCCAGGCCCCCTCCGGTGGAGTGGGCGGAAGCCGGGCGGGGAGGACTAACCTGCAGCCGGGCCACACAGCAGAACTCCGCAGAGGGGTTTCGCAGGTGGATGCGTGCTGTTAGCAGGTTGCTGCCGTAGGCGAAGTATAGAAAACTGTCTTCTTCCTGGCCCGCGAGGAAATCGAAACCCGAGTTCGCCATGTCCCAGGAGACCTCTGCACCCCGGGGAGTACGGGAGGAGTGATGCAAGGAACAGAGAGTGCAGACACTGTGGCCGAAGGCAGGAGCTCAGTGGCAGCCGCCCGCAGGCTCTGGCATTGAGGGAGGGGCGGGAAGCGTGGGCGGGGGAGTCTGTGCGAGCGCTCTCTTGATTGGTTCCCTCTTGAATAGTCCCCTCTGATTGGCCAAAACCGCCGCCACCGCTCCACGAGGACTCTGAAATACTCCGTCCCGAGGCGACATGGGACTGATTCTTCATTGGACACGCCTCTCTGTTGTCCCACCCTCCTTGTTCAAGGCACCCTCAGATTGACCGGTGGGCGGGCGCTATGCTGCTAGGCTTCGGGAGTGTGGGAGGGTAAGGTGAGGAGCAGTCTTGTCTCGCATGGGAGCCCCAGCCGGCTTTCCCACCTTCGGGTGGCCAGTGATTCTCTGGCGGTGTGTGCGCTCTGGGGGGGCTTCTGTACGATCCAAGACAAAACAGCAGTCTTTGCTATCACCCCAGCAGTTCCCACACCCGCAGCCTCAGTTCTGCACTTTCGACTTGGGAGAGTCTGTCATCCAGGGGCTGTTTGGTCACCCTAACTTAGGGTTTCTGCATTCGCGTCCTGATCGGCTCTGTTTTCTAAAGAAACTTCTCTTCCCAGAGAAGCACCTCTAATGTCTGTTCCTTCTCTACTAGAACTAGCACACCTGGATCCACATCCCCAAACTGCCTTTTAATGATCAAGTAAACTTGGACACCTTTCCTCTGTGTTATTTCTTTTAAAATGTTTTGGTTAAAATTTACGTAAGTGTGGCCCTCTATCTCACAGGGTTAGTTTAAGTATTAAACTAATTACTAAGAGTAATTTTGTTAATATATTAAGTGTAAATAAAAACTCTAGTTTTTAATAAGATACAAAAGTGTAAAAGCAATGAAATAAACTCTGTATTGTTAACTGTGAAATGAAAAGATTAATACAAACTAAGAAACAAGAAAAAAAATGATTATCCTGGCTTAGGTTTTGATTTCTAAATACCACTTCCCATTAAAAGGCCCTAGGGTCCCTGACAGAAGAGACTGATGCCGGCTCAAGAGCTGGGAATGAACAGGTGATCTTGGGACAGATTGGGACAGAAAGTCAAGAAATATTAAAAAAAAAAAAATGAGGTCCTTCCCAAAAGTCACAGGAGATAGCTTACAGGAATCCCTACTAGCCATTGTTAGAACAATTTGAACATCAAAAATAACGGTGGTTAAACCAATCAAAAAAGCCAAATTTATAAAGCCATTTCCCCCAAATAAAAAGTCAAATCTAAAAAAAGCCATAAAATCCCCTCATTTGTTACGGTATTAATGATCACTGTTAAAACCAACTCTTTACTCTGAAACATGATAATTTAAGAAAATAAATATTCTGCCTTTATAGTAGTAGCTGTATTTGAAGATAACTAAATAGCCCCCATTAATGAAGAGACGGTTGTCGCGCAGATAAATTAGAATGTAAAATGAATGAAAGACTATTTTGCAGTCCTTAGTGAAATAATTGATTCATGCAGGATCAGCAATAAAGTCTAATGGTGAAAGGAAGGTGGAAAACAAGATGTACACAAAGTGTCAAATTAGCATCTCCCCCCACCAACACACACACCCCAAGAATTCCTTACCATAATCAGGGGGAAAACATAATGATAGAGGAGAAATCTGCTCCTTCTCACCTTAATCTAGTTCAATCTTATCACTAAAAGTGGGCAAACCTGGGCCCTCCCTGTTGGCGCAGCAGGTTAAAGCACAGCACTTAAGTAAGAAGCTAAAGCCACTTCAGCATGAGTTCGATCCCTGCCTGGGAGATGATCCACATGTCTCAGCAGACCTCTCCTGACCTGCCTACTGCTTCCCTCAGCAGTGCACTTCGTCAGTTCTACCTGTTCTGCTCCCCACTCTGTCTCTGGTGGATCCTCTCACCCCACCCCACACACACCCCTGGCCTGTACCCCAGTCTGTATGCATAAATAAGTAAATCTTAAAAAAAAAAAAAGTGGGCAAACCTGACATGATGTATGCCCTGTTGTGATACAATATGAAGCACCAACATTCTCTATGAAATATTGTTTCCAAAAATATTTAACCTCAATATAATCAAGACTTAAAAACAGAAGACGAAAATAACACCAAGAGGAAACACCCAGAAAAATCCAGAACAAATAGTGGAACACTGTGCAGAGCACTGGCTGTCTTACATTGCCAATGTTATTAAAAAACAAAGCCACATAAAACAAGACTGATCTATATTCTATATTAAGACTAATGTGTATATATATATATATATATATATACATTAGTCATATATATATATATATATATATGTATCTTCTAGATTAAAAGAAACACAAGAGACATATCCAAATGCAATGGCTTATCATTGGCTCAGGTTTAATAGAATATATTTGGGGGACAATTGGAGAAATTTGATATGAGCTAAAGTGTTAGATGATATTACACAATTTTTGTGTGTGTTTGTGTGTCCTGGATTCTTTTTTCTTCTTTTTTTTAATAATACAATAGTTTATTTTTACATCATTTTGTGCCTCTTTCCATCTCAGTTGTAATCCCCGTGGGCTTCCCATCACCAAATCACCCTGTGCCATTACCATAGTCCAGTGCACTTCCCTCCCCCCACCTTTTTTAATCCCATTCCCCATTCCACCCCCATAAATATGTCTCTGGTATATAGTTGTTCATTATTATTATCATTTTCTCCCCTGGTCCTTTATACTCCTTCTATGAGTAAAACCATCCAGTACTTTTCCTTTTCTTTCTAGCTTATTTCACTAAACATGATCTTTTCCAGCTCCATCCATGTTGCTGCAAAAGGCATGTATTTATATATTTTTTGGTTGCCGAGTAATATTCCATTGTATTACACAATTTTAAAAAGTTAGGTATATATTGAACATTCACATAACATTTGACAACATAAAACACTTCCAAAAACTACTGGACATCAACAAAAACCCTGAAGTTTGTGAGGTGAAGAGAGAATAGGAGAAGGGATAAAAGAATGGTTGAGTATAAAACTGCATTAAAACTGCATATGCAGTGTGATTTTGGAGAAAAATAAATTTAAGTGCAGTGATGTATTTAGGGGTAACTGATGTCTGCATTTTTAAATTATCCAAAAAACAAAAGCAAACTTAGGGGTGTATATATGGATGTTTTTATTCTTTTTCTCTATTTTCTATATATTTGAACATTTTCATGTTTAAAAGTCAAAAAAGAAAAACAAGATGATACATGGAAAACCCCTGGCATAGAGTGAGCGCTCAGTAAGTAATGCATTATTATTATAGAAAGGTTCATATCAACTCTCTTTCCTTTTCTACCCCCAATATCACAAATATCAAGTATGTGATCATCTCAGTGAGCAAGTTAATTTTCTTGTCAAGATCATGCTTTATTGCACCAGTCTGTTTTAGAGCATTACTGTGTAAAATGTCCTCCTGATTTTTAACTGCTTTCAGACATTTAAATATATTTATTGAGCAATGGTTTTATTTACTTAAATTAATTTACTTCTTCCCAGATACTTCATCCTAATTGTTTGTGGTAAGCAACAAGTTTTCTGTTTCCTTTGCTTTTTGCTTTTTTAAATTGTACCAAAACTTAGAATTAGATAATATTCATCCATCACTTATTAAACACCAGACATTAGTCTAAATACATATATTCTCATCTAACCTTGAAAATAACCCTATGCATAATCCCCTAATATTATCATTATTTTACAGTTGAAAAAAACAGAGTTGCAGTAGGTGAATTAATATACTCTAGGTTGTAGTTACCAGTGACCAAAGTTGAGATTAACAGCCAAGCACTCTGATTCTAAAGTAATGTATTACTATGTCCTACTTCCTAAATTTCTCCAACTGTAAAGTCCTAGCGATCTAGATATCACTGGTTAGTACAGTAATCCTGTTTTTCTTTCCTTGTTTCAATTATCCAGTCAACCAAGTTTTAAAAATAGAACACAAAATAAAATATTTTATTTACATAATAGTTATTTACATAATTTAAATACAGTATATAGAGTAGTTATTCTATTTTACTATTATAAGTACTAGTGGATAGAAATTCATATTTCAAATAGCCTTTCAGATTTCCATCTTTAGCTGACCTTATAGGATTTTATTAGACCATCATTATTTTTATGCTAGAAATATAGGTGATGGAGAGCTTCTCCAGGAGTCAGAAATGTCAGCTTGTCCTTTCTTTTTTCTTTTCTGGTGTTTGCAATATTAGTAAGAGCTTCAGTTCAGGTCTTTACAAAAATTATGTTTCAGATATTTTGTTCATTATCTGTGAGCCCACTTAACTAAGTACAGGTAAATTACAGTAAACATAAGACACAGAAAGTGAATCAATGAGGGCTAGTTCTATCCCCCAGGATACCTCACATCTTATGAAGCAGATGATGACTGTCTAATTTGTGTTTTCAATTAAAGCAAAATTATTTTATTATTATATAAGTTTATTTATTAAAAATAATAAAAGTAACGGTAAAGTATAGGAAAGCAAAATTTCCTAGTATTTTAGATTAATAATAAATATGATTTTGTTTTCATATTACAGCAGATCAAATTGCTCATCCATTTTAAATAATTGCAATCAATTTTAACATTATCATTTTTTAAAAGACTACTTTAAGATAATCATTCCCACATTCTGGTAAGTTTGAAGAATGGTAAGGTGAGAAGGCAAGTTTCTGCTGAGGAAGGCCAGTGGCTGTGTAGGCAAGACCAGTTGAGGCAGCAGTACTCTGATGAGATAGAGAACTGTGTCTCAAGAGTCTGTCTCTCAGTTCTTTGGCTGAGAAATTCTATCTTGGCCCGGGAGCAGATTTACACTAACCAGATTCATACAAGATAAATGAGCATATTCAATGAGATGTACAATGAGAACTGGAGCAAACCAGATAATTTGTGTTCATTGCTCAAAATAGCTGTAGGTATGACTTTAGCAAGTGTGAAAAACAATAGGAGGTCAGGTAATTAAAATGAAAGGAATAAGAGGAGCGGTAAGAGATAACAGCTAGAGATAGGTA